GGGGCAGCGACTGTGGCTGTGCCGCCCAGAGACAGGCCTGGAGCTGACACCGCTGTGTCCTGGGAGCTCTGCTTGTGGCAGGAGCTTCTGTTCCTGGGATGGATGGAAGCTCCTAGAAACTCCTCGTGGGGGTCACTGGGCAGCGACTGGGGATTTCCAACCATAAGGACCAGACCACAGGGCACAGCTCCCAACTCACCACTGAAATGTAAAGTGATGTTAGAAAACGTCTATTCACACCTTTCAACCCGGAGCAGAAGGCGTTCCGTTACCAACGCTTTTCCATCAATTCCTCCGCCCACAGTTTCCACCAATATGCATCATCCTACAATTTTTAAATCTGCCTTATTGTGACCTTCACAGGTAATAAAATACATGCATGTGAAGCTGGCTGAGTGCTGACTAATATAGTATAAAGTTTTAAAGAAGCCCCAGCACAGCAATTAGAAAACATCAACTTTTTTTTGACAAGCAGGTACCACATGTTCCCCTTTTCCTCTCAGATAAATGCCAACATCTGACTGTGCGTTAAGAACAGATCCCAGGAGTGACCACAGCCCACGGCTCATAGAGAACGATGGTGTCAGGAGGAGGAAATATGGACAGAAAATAACAGTGACCCTGACCCCGGATGAGGACAGCCCACGAGGGCTCCCCCCCCCACCCCCCAACCAGCCCTGGGGAAGGACCCCTTTCTCCTCGGGGCCCTGGGTCCACGGGAAGGAGGCCTCCCGCCACCAGGAGTGAATCCCACACAAGACAGAACCGAGTCCCGCACAGAAGGGGACGCGCCCCCATGGGCTGTCCCTGTTCTGGCCCTGACCTGAGCCCTGACCCTGGTCTAAGAGTTGGTGCAGGAGCCGCCACTTGAGTCCTGACCATGGACCAGCCCAGGGAGCTGTGGTCAGACTCCCCCTGAGGACGCCGAGTAGAGACTGAAGGTGCCCCGAGGTGAGAGAGGCCATAGAGGGGACCCTGGCCTGGCCCTAGGGCAGGGGCTGTGGGCAGAGCAGTGGGAAGGCAGAGGTGGCCTCTCATGGGTTCTGGCCCCCATGTCACTCAATGGTGTGTCTGGGCCTGGACACTAGAGGGCGCTGGGGGTTTGCTCCTGAGGGATCTGGGTGCTCAGAGCTGGGACCAGCCCCTGACAAAGCCCAGGACCATCTGCTCAGGGCTGTCAGCTGTGACTTCCCCAAACCTGGGCCCACACAGCCCCTCCCCCGCCCCCACCAATGGCCATCCTCAGGCAGAGGGCCCTGCCCAGGGCCCAGGGAGAGATCAAATAGATGGGGTCTCATTTGCATAACAGGACCCTCCCTCCCAGAGACTATGAAGAGGGGAAGGGAGAGGTGTGGGGAGCTCTGCTTCAGCTGTGGGGCCTCAGGAGGCAGGACTCAGGGATGACCTCCACCATGGCCTGGGCCCCTCTCCTCCTCACCCTCCTGGCTCACTGCACAGGTGACTGGATAAGGGGACGGGGAAGGGGCCTTGGGGAGACACATGGGTCCTGCTTCCTCCTCTTGTCTCTAGACCCAGACTCACCATCTCTGTGTCTCCCCCTCTTGCAGGATCCTGGGCTGAGCCTGTGCTGACTCAGCCATCCTCAGTGTCGGGGTCCCCGGGCCAGAGGGTCACCATCTCCTGCACTGGAAGCAGCACCAACATTGGGGTTGGTGACTATGTGTCCTGGTTCCAGCAGCTCCCAGGAAAGGCCCCCAAACTCCTCATCTATCAGAGTAGCAATCGACCCTCAGGGATTCCGGACCGATTCTCTGGCTCCAGGTCTGGCAGCTCAGCCTCCCTGACCATCACGGGGCTGCAGGCTGAGGACGAGGCCGTCTATTACTGCTTATCACCCGACAGCAGTATCAACGCTCCCACAGTGCTCCAGGCCTGTGGGGAAGTGAGACAAAAACCCCTCAGGTCTGCAAGGGGATGAGACCCCCAGCAGCTGCCTGTTCAGCTCAGCCTGTGACCTGTGGCTTCTGCTTATTCCCTCGCTGAAGCCCTGGGCCAGTGATGGCGAACCTTTTGAGCTCGGTGTGTCAGCATTTTGAAAAACCCTAACTTAACTCTGGTGCCGTGTCACATATACAATTTTTTTTAGATTTGCAACTATAGTAAAACAAAGACTTATATTTTTGATATTTATTTTATATATTTAAATGCCATTTAACAAACAAAAATCAACCAAAAATATGAGTTCGAGTGTCACCTCTGACAGGCGTGTCATAGGTTCGCCATCACTGCCCTGGGCCCAGGTTCATACGGGGACCCTGCCTGGGGGTGAAGGGTCCTCCCTCCCCTCCGGCCTCCATATCACTCAGAGCAGCACTTTCCCAGGCTCAGGGTCCTGGAGGAAGGGAAGGCCTCTCCCCACCCACGGCCCGTTCCCTCCCCCTGGGCTGCAGTCACTGGGCCTGTGAGGCTGAGATGAGTGACAGCTGGCTGGGCCCCGCCCCTGCCTGGGGCTCAGCACTGTGTGCTGTGCTGGAAGGACCCCTGGCCCTGTTTCATCCCCTCAGGATTCACTCCCTTTAAGCCCTGTGACTGGTTTTGATTTGCTTTGTGATTTTAAGCACAAAAATCGGCAATTCACAGCTGTCACTATAGCAGATTGGGGGGTGCCATGGTGGGCGCTGAAGGGGGTGGTCCCAGTGGGATAAGGGTTCCAGGAGGAGACACTTCCTGCTGTGACTACCTGGCTCTGGGAGTGTGGACAGCATGGGGACCCGGCAGGGGGCGCTGTCACACTGTGTCTCTTAAAGCAGTCGAAAGACCAGATCTTAACTGATCTCAGCACAAGAAATAGCAAAACTTGTAGCCACGTATGATGGCAGAGGTCAAGGAGACGTATCTGGGATGGTTTTGCAGTTTACACCTCACAGCGTCCTTATGTCATAACCTGACACTAATTAATGTCAATTACATCAAAATAAAAAATAAAATAATAATGAATCTGAATCTTCTTCCCACAGAAAAACCAGCACGTGGAAGTCTGTAGTAGCTTTATTACCTCCCTCACCCACCCAGACTGAGAGCAGCCAGGAGTCGGTGCCTGGAGGTGTGTGACAGCTGTGAGTGTAGGGATGTCCTCCAATAAGAGGTTGGGATGGTTTAAAAAGGCCATGTGTCCCGGCCGTCATGGCTCAGTGGTTGAGCATTGACCTTGAACCAGGAGGTCACAGTTCAAATCCTGCTCAGGCAGGACACATGTCCAGGTTGTGGCCTCCATTCCCAGTGGGGGGTGTGCAAGCGGCAGCCAATCCATGATTCTCTCTCATCATTGATCTTTGTATCTTCCTCTCCCTCTCCCTTCCTCTCTGAAATCAATAAACATATATCTTAAAAAAAGAAAAAAGGCTGGTTTGGAGCTTTTTAATATGTAGATCTTAAAGGACATGAAGCACCCTTCTTCCTGCTGGTCAGTGTTCCTCCTACCTCAGAACCGCCCTCCCCATCTCCTGTGAATGATTTAATCCCCCTCCAGCCTCCAGTGGTTTCAGCGGAAACTGCCCGAATCTGTGGCCCAAAGGTTGGGAGGCCCATTGTCCGTGTGACCATCGGAAGCTGGGTCTCTGCTTCCTCACTTGGCCCCCAGGCTGGTCACCCGGAGACATGAAGCTGCGGGTCTGCTGGTGACAAGGCCTCTCCAGGGCCTGTGGCAGGTGCTTCTACTCCGGGGATGGACAGAAGCTCCTAGAACCTCCCCGTGGGGGTCACTGCGCAGCGACTATGGATTTTCAACTGTTAGGACCCGACCACAGGGCACAGCTCCCATCTCACCACTGAGATGTAAAGTGATGTTAGAAAACGTCTATTCACACCTTTTCAACCCGGAGCAGAAGGCGTTCTGTTACCAACACTTTTCCATCAATTCCTCCGCCCACAATTTCCACCAATATGCATCATCCTAGAATTTGTAAATCAGCCTTATTGTGACTTTCACATGTAATAACATACATGCATTTGACGTTTCCTGAGTGCTGACTAATATAGTGTAAAGTTTTAAATAAACCCAATCACAGCAATTAGAAAATGTCAACATTTTTTTGACAAGCAGGTCCCACACGTTCCCCTTTTCCTCTCAGTTAAATGCCAACGTCTGAGTGTGCGTTGAGAACAGATTCCAGGAGTGACCACAGCCCACGGCTCATGGAGAACGATGGTGTCAGGAGGAGGAAATATGGACAGAAAATAACAGTGACCCCTGACCCCGGACGAGGACAGCCCACGAGGGCTTCCTCCCCGCCCTGCCCAGCCCTGGGGAAGGGCCCCTTTCTCCTCGGGGCCCTGGGTCCATGAGAAGGAGGCCTCCCGCCACCAGGAGTGAATCCCATTCAAGACAGAACCGAGTCCCGCACAGAAGGGGACGTGCCCCCACGGGGCTGTCACTGCTCTGGCCCTGACCTGAGCCCTGACCCTGGTCTAAGAGTTGGTGCAGGAGCCGCCACTTGAGTCCTGACCATGGACCAGCCCAGGGAGCTGTGGTCAGACTCCCCCTGAGGACGTCGAGTAGAGACTGAAGGAGCCCTGAGGTGAGGGGAGGCCACAGAGGGGACCCTGGCCTGGCCCTAGGACAGGGGCCGTGGGCAGAGCAGTGGGAAGGCAGAGGTGGCCTCTCATGGGTTCTGGCCCCCATGTCACTCAATGGTGTGTCTGGGCCTGGACACTAGAGGGCGCTAGGGGTTTGCTCCTGAGGGATCTGGGTGCTCAGAGCTGGGACCAGCCCCTGACAAAGCCCAAGACCATCAGCTCAGGGCTGTCAGCTGTGACTTCCCCAAACCTGGGCCCACACAGCCCCTTCCCCGCCCACACCAATGGCCATCCTCAGGCAGAGGGCCCTGCCCAGGGCCCAGGGAGGGATCAGATAGATGGGGTCTCATTTGCATAACAGGACCCTCCCTCCTGCAGACTATGAAGAGGGGAGGGGAGAGGTGTGGGGAGCTCTGCTTCAGCTGTGGGGCCTCAGGAGGCAGGACTCAGGGATGACCTCCACCATGGCCTGGGCCCCTCTCCTCCTCACCCTCCTGGCTCACTGCACAGGTGACTGGATGAGGGGACGGGGAAGGGGCCTTGGGAAGACACATGGGCCCTGCTTCCTCCTCTGGTCTCTAGACCCAGACTCACCTTCTCTGTGTCTCCCCCTCTTGCAGGATCCTGGGCCCAGTCTGTGCTGACTCAGCCATCCTCAGTGTCGGGGTCCCCGGGCCAGAGGGTCACCATCTCCTGCACTGGAAGCAGCACCAACATTGGGGTTGGTGACTATGTGCACTGGTACCAGCAGCTCCCAGGAAAGGCCCCCAAACTCCTCATCTATCAGAGTAGCAAACGACCCACAGGGATTCCGGACCGATTCTCTGGCTCCAGGTCTGGCAGCTCAGCCTCCCTGACCATCACGGGGCTGCAGGCTGAGGACGAGGCCGACTATTACTGCTTGTCTATTGAAACTAGTCCTGCTGGTACTCACAGTGCTGCAGGCCTGTGGGGAAGTGAGACAAAAACCCCTCTGGTCTGCGAGGGGGTGAGCTCTCCAGCAGCTGCCTATTCAGCTCAGGCTGTGACCTGTGGCTTCTGCTTATTCCCTCGCTGAAGCCCTGGGCCAGTGATGGCGAACCTTTTGAGCTCGGTGTGTCAGCATTTTGAAAAACACTAAGTTAACTCTGGTGCCTTGTCACATATAGAATTTTTTTGATATTTGCAACCATAGTAAAACAAAGACCTTATATTTTTTATATTTATTTTATATATTTAAATGCCATTTAACAAAGAAAAATCAACCAAAAAAATGAGTTCGCGTGTCACCTCTGACAGGCGTGTCATAGGTTCGCCATCACTGCCCTGGACCCTGGTTCATCCAGGGACCCTGCCTGGGGGTGAAGGGTCCTCCCTCCCCTCCGGCCTCCATGTCACTCAGAGCAGCACTTTCCCAGGCTCAGGATCCTGGAGGAAGGGAAGGCCTCTCCCCACCTTTTTGGCCCTGTTCCCTTCCCCTGGGCTGCAGTCACTGGCCTGTGAGGCTGAGATGAGTGACAGCTGGCTGGGCCCCGCCCCTGCCTGGGGCTCAGCACTGTGTGCGGTGCTGGAAGGACCCCTGGCCCTGTTCCATCCCATCAGGATTTACTCCCTTTAAGCCTTGTGACTGGTTTCCATTTGCTCTGTGATTTTAAGCACAAAAATCAGCAATTCACAGCTGTCACTATAGCAGATTGGAGGGTGCCATGGTGGGCGCTGAAGGGGGTGGTCCCAGTGGGTGAAGGGGTCCAGGAGGAGACACTTCAGTCTGTGACTACCTGGCTCTGGGAGTGTGGACAGCATGGGGACCCGGCAGGGGGCGCTGTCACACTGTGTCTGTGAAAGCAGCTGAGAGACTGGATCTTAACTGTTCTCAGCACAAGAAATAGCAAAACTTGTCGCCATGTCTGATGGCTGAGGTCAAGGAGACGTATCTGGGATGGTTTTGCAGTTTACACCTCACAGAGTCATTATGTCGTACACCTGACACTAATTAATGTCAATTACGTCTCAATTAAAAATAAATTGAAATAAATCTGAATCTTCTTTTTCCAAAAAACCAGCACATGGAAGTCTATAGCAGCTTCATTAACCGCCTAGACCAGTGGTCAGCAAACTGCGGCTCGCGAGCCACAAGCGGCTCTTTGTCCCCTTTAGTGTGGCTCTTCCACCAAATACCACGTGCGTGCATGCACGTGCAGTGGTACGTGAGATTAAAACTTCGTGGCCCATGTGCAGAAGGCCCTGTTTTATGGAAGAGCCACACTCAAGGAGCCAAAGAGCCGCTTGTGGCTTGCGAGCCGCAGTTTGCCAACCACTACCCTAGACTGGCGGTTCTCACCTTGGCTGCAGATTCGAATCACCTGGGAATCTTGTTAAAATCCTGATTTCTGGGCCTCATCATAAGTAACAAAGAAACAGAATTTCCGGAGGATGAGGCCCAGAAATCAGGATTTTAACAAGATTCCCAGGTGATTGTAATGTGCAGCCAAGGTTGAGAACCCCTGCCCTAGACTGAGAGCAGCCAGGAGTCGGTGCCAGCGGGTCTGTGACAGCTGTGAGTGGCGGGATGTTCTCCAATAAGTGGCCCGATTTAAAAAGGCGTGGCTCAGTGGTTGAGCATCGACTGATGAACCAGGAGGTCACGGGTCAATTCCTGGTCAGGCAGTACACATGTCTGGGTTTCGGGCTCCATCCCCAGTGGGAGGTGTGCAAGAGGCAGCCGATCCATGATTCTCATCATTGATGTTTCTATCTCCCTCTCCCTATCTCTCTGAACTCAATAAACATATATCTTAAAAAAAGAAGAATGGGTGGTTTGGAGGTTTTTAATACCTAGATCTTCAAAGGACATGAAGCACCCTTCTTCCTGCTCTGTAGGCCCCCCCCCCCCCCCGCCATCTCCTGTGAATGATTTAATTACCCTCCAGCCTCCATTGGTTTCAGCGAAAACTGCCTGAATCTGGGGCCCAAAGGTTGAGAGGCTCATTGTCCGTGTGACCATCGGAAGCTGGGTCTCTGCTTCCTCACTTGGCCCCCAGGCTGGTCACCCCGAGACGTGAAGCTGCGGGTCTGCTGGTGACAAGGCCTCTCCAGTGTCCACGTGGACGTGTCCTGGTCCCTACAGGAGTCTGGGGAGCAGGTGATGGTTCTCATGGCAGGGCCTGCGGTTCCTGTGCCGGCTGCTGGCTCCTTGGTAATTGCCCATCAGCTCATCCAGACCTGGAACCTCTGTACTGACATGTTACTTAGGACATCTGTGTCCACATCTAGCATGATCGTCCTGTCATTTTTGGTTCTCTGTCATTTCCAGAAGCATTTGTCGCTATGATAATGGCTTTAAAACCAACAAGGACAGGTTACATCTCGTTAAATGTTTTAGAGAAAATTGTTTGAAAATGAATCGGAACCATTTGATCTGCTGACCCGTGACAAGGCCTGTGAAACTGTGCCTTTCCCATTCTGTGAAGTCGTCCCTCAGCATTTTCTGTTTTATAAGAACATTGGTCTCTCACTTATTCCATCGCAGTTGCAGCCTCACTTGTGTCTTCCAAGGAAAGTAAGCACGTTATCTATCTATCTATCTATACAAAAGGCTACTATGCAAAGTGTCGCCTTGGGAGTTCCACTGGGAGACCTGAGTTCAATTGCTAGCTATGACGTGAGCTGACCACCAGAGGGCGATGTAGAACATGGTGGGGGAGCACTGGTTGGGCCCTGAGCAAGTGAGGGAAGGAGGAGGTGGAGAGGTGGGGAACCTGAATGGCCCTGATCACCAGCAAGGCCTAGGGACCCTTCCTGTGCATGAGTTTCGTGCACTGGTCCTCTAGTGTTTAAATTAAGGTTAGAAATCTCAGCGTTTTTTATTTTTGCACATGTGACAAGCAGGTGGCACTGTGGGACTGCCCTGAGGTTCATGCAAGCTGCTCAGTGAGGACCATTTACTGACAGGAGCCCCATGGCCATGCTCTGTGCTCCCTGAGGGGAAAGCAGCAGCCGTGTCCTCTGAGCAGGGACCCTTGTGTGGTCCCAGCAGGTGCTTCCTCCCAGGGCCCCCCAAGGGGTGAGCCCACCTCCATGCCCCTCAGTCTGGGGTGTGAGCTGAGGTCCAGCCCCAGGGCCCAGGGAGGGGCTGGGCAGTCCCTGGAGGGACTCCCATTTGCATGGCAGCCCCTCCTCTGGCAGAGGGTGGGGGAGAAAAGGAGGCCTGGGCAGCCCAGCCCCACTGTGGGCTCAGGGCTGTGAGCACCATGGCCTGGACTCCTCTGCTCCTCGCGCTCCTCTCTCACTGCACAGGTAGGGACAGGCCTGGGACCAGGCTTCTTCCCTTCCTGCTCAGGCTCCTGGGAAAGGTCCCCTGGTCCCTGCCCATCACTGACAAGTGTCTGTGTCTGCAGGGTCCCTCTCCCAGCAGCCTGTGCTGACTCAGCCGCCCTCCCTCTCTGCATCTCCGGGAGCCACAGCCAGACTCACCTGCACCCTGAGGAGTGATATCAGTGTTGGCAGCTATACCATATACTGGTACCAGCAGAAGCCAGGGAGCCGTCCCCGGTACCTGCTGTACTTCTCCTCAAGTACAAGTTTGGGCTCTGGGGTCCCCAGCCGCTTCTCTGGATCCAAAGACGCCTCGGCCAATGCGGGGCTCCTGACCATCTCGGGGCTGCAGCCTGAGGATGAGGCCGACTATTACTGTGTGATCTGGCACAGTAGTGCTTCCCACAGTGACACACACAGATCGGGAAGTGGGACAAAAACCTCGGCCTCCCCAGAGCCTTCGTTTAAACTCTGAACCTGTTAACATAACTTCCATGTGCAAACTACACAGGGAAGTACCTTCTGGTTTATAATGGGTCACTTTCCATTTTTTATCCCATGTATCTGAGCCAACACCAAACTCAATGGTCATTATGTCCCTGAAAGGTGGCCTGTCCTCCGTGGGTAAGAAGCCCAGGTCCGTGCGATGGCTGTTTCTGATTTGAAATAAGGGAACAGCTCTGGAAACTGCTCCCAGTGCCCAGGACCCTCCCAGCAGGCGGCCCGTCCCCTGAGCACGGACTCCGCACCCAGAGGTCAGAGCAGTGACCCCTCAGTCCCCGGGCTCCTCGCCCAAGGCTCCTGCCCAGCCCTGTGCACACGGACCAGGTTCTCAGCTGCGAGGGGCTGGGGAGCCTCGGGCCCGGGAGGAAGCCCAGGCACAGGGCTGGCCGTCACCTCTGCTGGGACCCTGACCTTCAGTGACATTGGGGAGAGGGGCTGTCAGAGGGACATGGGTGGCCTGGGCCCAGGGACCCTCTTTGGGTCTCGACAGGGTGAGTGAGCTGGACGGTGGCTGTATGCTGAGCTGCTCCAGGAAGGATGCGGGCGCCTGGGTCTATGGGGGAGACGCTCTCACAGCTGACGCCACTCAGGCCCATGGGGCTCCCGTGAGTGGGGTTCCCTGAGCCACAGGCTCTGACTGTGTCCTCTCCTCTCACCCACTGGGGCTTTCCTACCCCCCAGGGTGTGGGTGGCTGTGGGCCATGGGGAGCAGGACCTTCCCAACAGGTGCCTGTCACTCCCGCTGGGAAGCTGTTGATGAGCCCAGATCTCAGGTCACCTTCTCCTGAACCTGGGTCAGCAGACACACTGACTGTTCCCATAGCAACGGTCCCCACGCTCCCAGGCAGAGCACCTACCGGACCATTTGACCTAGGACACAGGTGATTGACAGTCCACAGGTCAGCCCTCTTCCTGTTCTCCTGGCTGGTGCACTGGGCCCTGTGACCAGCCCTGGTCTGTGGCCTGAGGAGGAGGCTGGCTGTCGCTGTCATGTGACTTCATAAACCCGCTGCCACAAGGAGCTGCCAGCCCGGGGGCAGCTGAGGGGGCATCTGCCCTCCACTCCTGCAGGACCAGCTCACCCCGGACCCGATTGCAAAAATGTGACTGAGGGCCCTGGCCGGTTGGGCTCAGTGGGTAGCGCCTCAGCCTCCAGACTGAAGGGTCCGGATTTGATTCTGATCAAGTCACTTGCCCGGGTTCAATGCTCCTTCCCCAGTAGGGGGCGTGCAGGAGGCAGTCGCTCAATATGCTCTCTCATCATTGATGTTTCAATCTCTCTCTCCCTCTCCCTTCCTCTCTGAAATCAGTAAAAACATATTTTTAAAGAAGGAAGAGGGCAAGGGGCCCAGAGGCTTCTCACAGCATCTTCAAAATGTCTGGGAATCTCTATAAATTCCCCCTCGTTATGTCAGGAACCCGGGAAGTTAAAAGCCTGAAGGAGAAAAGAGAATCTACCGACACCAACCCTGAGGCGGCTCAGAGGAGGGGGTTCTGGGCGGATGTATCTAGGACAGCGATCCCACAGTCCATGGAGGAGCAGCACACGCTTCTTAGTCCAAAGGGAGGAAGAGACACCCAGGATTCAATAGACTCTGTGGACACAGCCCGAGGGCAATTACAGAACCAAAAGCAAAACAGGGGAAACAGGGGGGAAGCTCCCTGCAGGGATTCAGAAGGAGGAAATACCTGGTTGGTTTGTTTGTTTGAAGAGGCATCATTCCTTGTGTAGTTCCCGCCACCATGACTATTCCCCAGGCCCTCTCCTTGGAGCCTCTGCCTTGCCTGCCCCTTCCTCAGGGGAGGACTGGCCCTGAGGCCCCGCACTCAACCTCTGACCCCTCACACCCTATGATGCATATCCTTCTGCTTCCATCCCCAAAAGTGCTCCCCCAGGTCACAGTGAGGTCATTGTTTAGTGTCCCCCCCTCACAGGCCCTGGTCCCGGTGGTGCTGTCACTGTCCCTTCCCCTTCTGTGTCCAGGGAGCTGGGGTCACAGTGAGTCTCAGTCAGACAATCAGAATCCAGACTCTCCTATGGACAGAAAACAGACGAGTGGGAAATATTATGTTCAATTTCCCTATCAATGAGGATGCCAGTTACTAGGTAAAGCTGGACCGAAAAGCATGTGCAGAAACGCAATATGGATAATCTACTGGACAAAAGGGAAGGACATTGATTGAGAGAATAGTATTTGTGTGCTGGAAAGAGAGTGATTAATTTCTGACAAGGGAGGAATCCCATAAAAAAAATAAAACTGTGACCTGAAATTTAGGAACCTCGCCTCCTAGGGCTGGTCGCTGCTCTGGACCTGATCCTGGGAGGAAAGTTCCATAAGTGACACCAGCTCAGCTCTGACTATGAACAGCCAGGGAGACGGGCCCAGACTCCCAGGAGGAGGCGGAGGGGAACATAGAGTGTCCTGAGGGGATGAGGAGGCCACCTCAGGGTGCACCTGGACGCCCTGAGCCAGGGGGTCAGTGCACAGAGCCGGGGGGCAGGCAGGACCTGTCCCTCATGGGCTCAGTCAGCAGGGGACACAGTGGTGCATCCAGGCCTGGGCACCAGGGGGCGCTCAGGGGCTGCTGCTGAAGGCCTGGGCTCATCAGAGCTGCAACCTGTTCCCTGGCCCTGCCTGGTGCCCTGTGCTCAGGGCTCACAGCTGTGACTTGCCACCCCCTGGGCCCCACACAGCCCCTCCCCCGCCCTCACCCTGCCATCCTCAGGCACAGGGACCCGACCCAGGGCTCAGGGAGGGATCAAACCGGGGGTCCTCATTTGCATGAGTGGGCCCTCCCTCCCACAGACTATGAAGAAGGGAAGGGAGAGGTGTGGGGAGCTCGGATTCAGCTGTGGGGCCTCAGGAGGCAGGACTCAGGGATGACCTCCACCATGGCCTGGGCCCCTCTCCTCCTCACCCTCCTGGCTCACTGCACAGGTGACTGGATAAGGGGCAGGGGAAGGGGCATTGGGAAGACACATGAGCCCTGCTTCGTCCTTTTGTCTCTACACCCAGACTCACCATCTCTGTGTCTCCCCCTCTTGCAGGATCCTGGGCCCAGTCTGTGCTGACTCAGCCATCCTCAGTGTCGGGGTCCCCGGGTCAGAAGGTTACCATCTCTTGCCAGGGAAGCAGCTCCAACATTGGGGGTGGTAACTATGTGAACTGGTACCAGCAGCTCCCAGGAAAGGCCCCCAAACTCATCATCTATGATGATAGCGATAGAGAATCAGGGGTCCCTGACCGATTCTCTGGCTCCAAGTCTGCAAACTCAGGCACCCTGACCATCACGGGGCTGCAGGCTGAGGACGAGGCCGACTATTACTGCGAGTCATGGGACGATAGTATCAGCGGTCCCACAGTGCTCCAGGCCTGTGGGGAAGTGAGACAAAAACCCCTCTGGTCTGCGAGGGGGTGAGCTCTCCAGCAGCTGCCTGTTCAGCTCAGCCTGTGACCTGTGGCTTCTGCTTATTCCCTCGCTGACGCCCTGGACCCAGCTTCATCCGGGACCCTGCCTGGGGGTGAAGGGTCCTCCCTCCCCTCCGGCCTCCATGTCACTCAGAGCAGCGCTTTCCCAGGCTCAGGGTCCTGGAGGAAGGGAAGGCCTCTCCCCACCTGTGGGGCCCATTCCCTCCCCCTGGGCTGCAGTCACTGGGCCTGAGAGGCTGAGATGAGTGACAGCTGGTTGGCCCCGCCCCTGCCTCGGGCTCTGCACTGTGTGCTGTGCTGGAAGGACCCCTGGCCCTGTTCCATTCCATCAGGATTTACTTCCTTTAAGCCATGCGACTGGTTTCCATTTGCTCTGTGATTTTAAGCACAAAAATCGGCAATTCACAGCTGTCACTATAGCAGATTGGGGGGTGCCATGGTGGGTGCTGAAGGGGGTGGTCCCAGTGGGTGAAGGGGTCCAGGAGGAGACACTTCTGGCTGTGACTACCTGGCTCTGGGAGTGTGGACAGCATGGGGACCCGGCAGGGGGCGCTGTCACACTGTGTCTGTGAAAGCAGCTGAGAGACTGGATCTTAACTGTTCTCAGCACAAGAAATAGCAGAACTTGTAGCCACGTCTGATGGCTGAGGTCAAGGAGACGTATTCTGGGATGGTTCTGCAGTTTACACCTCACAGAGTCCTTATGTTGTTACCTGACACTAATTAATGTCAATTACATCAAAATAAAAAATAAAATAATAATGAATCTGAATCTTCTTCCCACAGAAAAACCAGCAGGTGGAAGTCTGTAGTAGCTTTATTACCTCCCTCGCCCACCCAGACTGAGAGCAGCCAGGAGTCGGTGCCTGGAGGTGTGTGACAGCTGTGAGTGTAGGGATGTCCTCCAATAAGTGGTTGGGATGATTTAAAAAGGCCATGTGGCCTGGCCGGCGTGGCTCAGTGGTTGAGCATTGACCTATGAACCAGGAGGTCACGGTTCAAATCCTGCTCAGGCAGGACACATGTCCAGGTTGTGACCTCCATTCCCAGTGGGGGTTGTGCAAGAGGCAGCCAATCCATGATTCTCTCTCATCATTGATCTTTGTATCTCCCTCTCCCTCTCCCTTCCTCTCTGAAATCAATAAACATATATCTAAAAAAAGAAAAAAGGCTGGTTTGGAGCTTTTTAATATGTAGATCTTAAAGGACATGAAGCACCCTTCTTCCTGCTGGTCAGGTTCCTCCTACCTCAGACCCGCCCCCCATCTCCTGTGAATGATTTAATTCCTTCCAGCCTCCAGTGGTTTCAGTGAAAACTGCCTGAATCTGTGGCCCAAAGGTTGGGAGGCCCATTGTCCGTGTGACCATCGGAAGCTGGGTCTCTGCTTCCTCACTTGGCCCCCAGGCTGGTCACCCGGAGACATGAAGCTGCGGGTCTGCTGGTGACAAGGCCTCTCCAGGGCCTGTGGCAGGTGCTTCTCCTCCGGGGACGGACGGAAACTCCTAGAACCTCCTTGTGGGGGTCACTGCATAGTGACTC